AAGAGAAACAAAAGGGTATGCCTAAGATGCCACATCTCCCCATGCTCTGCCTGCTGCAATTGGAGGCCTCATCTGAAATTCTCTTTGGGTGTATAGTCAAGTTACATTTTTCTCTTAATTTTTAAAAAGAATTAAAATCATTATATTTTGCAGAGGGAGTCTTGTTTTTACACATCTATCTTTCCTAGAGGCACTAGAAATTTCATTCCCCTACCCTCCCAGGATGGACCAGCCCAGGGAGATATGGGGGGCACTTCTGACTTCTCATCTCTCTCCCTTCTTCATAGGGGGGAAAATTACTATTTCCTCATCAAAATGGGGGTGAATGACCACAGCACATGTTTCTGTTCATCCTTCATTTGTCAGACCCAGCCTGTTGCTGGCTGTGGCCTTCTCACCCCACATGGCAAATGGTCTGTCCCTCCTCAGGGAAGCCTCAAAGACCAGCTGCTCAACCATGAATGGGTTTAGGGGACCAAGAAGCCCACCATGACCTCAGGTCCAAGTTGCTTTCTCAAATCCAGGTTTATCAAATATAAAACTAACATTTTTATCTCCGTCCAACCCTCATGAATGTTTTTTCTGTTGATTATGAAATTGAAAGGGGAATGATTATTATCCCAAGTAACCCCCAATACAGAAAAGTTATTGAACTATTAATTTGCCACAGTTTCTGAAAATATGAGATCGTGAAGCTTTTTAAAGATGCTTAAAAGAAGCCCTGGCCAGTGTTGCTCAGTTGGCTGAGCATCGTCCAATGCGCCAAAAGGTTGCTGATTTGATTCCTGGTCAGGGCACATACGCGGGTTGTGGGCTCCATCCCCAGTAAGGGGGCATACAGGAGGCAGTCAATCATGTTTCTCTCTCACATCAACGTTTCTCTCTCTCTCTCTCCCTCTCTCATCCCTCCCTTCCTCTCTCTCTAAAATCAATAAAAACATTTTTAAAAATAGTTGTTTATTTAAAAAATAATGCTTAAAAGGAACTGCAGGTGGCACTTAGCTCACAGTAAGAGTAGCACTGATATATATTGCTTCTACTATGAAAAACATGACAGAAATTAAAATAGAAAGAAAAATACTACATATTTTTTTCTTTTCTTTTTTTTTAAAGTAAAAATGCTTGTATAGTTGAGAGATTAGGAAAGCCAAAACTTATCAAACAGAATACCAAAATGTCGCTATCCCCTATCTACTCGTTTTTGAAATAAAAATACTACATATTTTTTCTTTTCTTTTTTTTTAAAGTAAAAATGCTTGTATAGTTGAGAGATTAGGAAATCCAGAACTTATCAAACAGAATACCAGAATGTCGCTATCCCCTATCTACTCATTTTTTTCCTTCCAGCAACTGAATAGCCACCCCTTTTCTATTAATTCCATTATGACAGATTCTCATCTTTGCTCCAGTCCTGACTTAATTTCAAGAGTTAGTCCAAGCGTGTCCTTGTGTGGTAGATAGCTCTAACATGACCCCCAAAGATCTCCATCTCTATTCTTGTCATTGTGTAATCCCCTCCCTTAGAATGTGCACTGGACCCACTGACTTGTTCATAATAGAATACAGCAAGAGTGTGATGGGATGGCATTTCCAAGATTGGGTCTGAGAAGACCGTGACTCCCATCTTGCTGGCACGCGCTCTCTGACTCTTCGCTGGCTCACTCTGATGAAGTCAAGCTGTCATATAGTGAGAGCTGGTGGAGAGGCCCAAGTGGTGAGGAACTGAGGTTGATTTATAACCATCCACTACAAAGGAACTGAAGTCCTCAATCCAACAGTCTGAGAACTGAATTCTACAAATAACCATGTGAGCGATCTTGGAAGCAAATCCTTCCCAGCTGAGCCTTGAGATAACCCAGTCAGTGCCTTGACTTCAGTCTGTGAGAGGCTCTGAGCAAAGGACCCAGCTATGCCACACCTGGACTCATGGCCAATAGAACTGAGTCTATTAACAGAGATAATAAATACTGTGTTAGGTCACTAAATTTGAGGGTTATTGGTTATTCGGTAATAAGTAACTGATACCCTATTTTTGAATCTTTGTATTCATCTCTTGGAAAAAGAGTCATTAATTGGTTCCTATTAATGTATTATATGATGAATTCTATTAAATAGTATTTGATAGAACTTATCCATCTCATTGTCAATATAATTGTTGAGTATTTACTAAATGCAAAAAAAAACCATGTTGGGCACTACCACTGCTGGCATTTTTCTTTTTCCTTTTTAAAAAATCCTCATCCAAGGATATATTTATTGGTGAGAGTGAGAGAGAGAGAGAGAGAGAGAGAGAGATTGATTCAGTTGCCTCCTGTATGCGCCTTGACCGGGGATCAAACCCACACCTTTTTTGGTGTACAGGACAACGGGACAACACTCCAACTGACTGAGCCACCCTGCCAGGACACTGCTGGCCACTGCTGGCATTTTTCTTGTTTCATAAAGAGTTTCAGCAGTAAGTCTTTTTTATCTTCTCTTTTCTTTCCCCCTTTGCTTTAGATTTTAGTTGTTAATGTTTTAGGAAGCAAAAGTAATCCCACTTGTGCCAGCTAAATTACTGAACAAAATAAAGATAGATGGAACATTGAAATGCCCACCTGAATGCATGCAAATGGACTACTTTCTAAGATAATTAAAAGCTGATTCCATATCCGCTCAGCACCCCACACGCCGGCTGGTACCTGCTTTGACTGATGAAGTCATTGAGCACCGTCTTCATTTTCTCCTCTGGTGCTTCCTCTGAAATCTTGATCAATTCTTTCACTTCTTCTATACTTTCTTCCTGAAAACAAACCACAGAGGTGGAGAAATGAGAGGTGAGAATGAGACACTGTAGTGGAGATATTGATTGTAACACCCCAGAAATAATATATAGCTATTTTTTTGTTTGTTTTAGAAATGAAGGAAGATTTCCCCTGTTTTCTTGTATCTGAACTGGAAAATACTACTGCATGCTGACTATTAATTTTCCTTTTCTTAACTGGATTCGGGCTGAACTTGTAGGAAACTGTCCACCATGTTAGGGATTTAGGCTTTTACATTAATTGAAACCAGGATCTATCAATTTTGTGGGAGAACTGTCAATCCCTTGCTCTTTGGAGATTAGGAAAACAGCCTACCATAGGCCCTACACCAATGAGAAGCAGAGCAGGGATCTGAATTCAGATAGTTTGATGTAAAGTCCAGGGATTTTGCAAAATGTATTCTCATTCCTCTGGGACCATGTGGTAAGAGGGACCTGTGCCCTCCAAATGCAACAACTTCAATTTATTTGTATTTAGACTAAGGTCAAGACCTTCTACTGGGTGGATAAAAAATCCTTTGGCCTCCAGCTTCCCAGTGATCAATTCCATGGCCTGTCAGTCACCTACCAGCAGGTCCGCCATTTTCTCCAGCATGTTGGACCAATACAGCCTAAACGTCTGGTCTCCCCAGGAACTGATGAAGTAGACGCAGGGCTTCTTGGCCTCAAATGGCAAGTAGTTGTAATTTCTGTGAAAACATATTAGGACGTAAGTTGGCAATCAAGTGTTTTCAGGCAATTCCAGCCACAGATTCTTGTTTTGTATGTTCTATGTGGGGTGGGCGAGGGGTGGTGACAAAACTATCAAAGTATCATTAATTCCATCCTTAGCCTATACTTGGGGACTCATGAGCAATAAACAATGAACAGTGATGTGGCTGAGGAGAAGAGAGGTACTAACAGCTACTGCTATCAGATTCAGGGAAAAACTGGAAATGATCAACAGAGGGCAGAATTTATCAAGCAAGCCCTCTTCAAGGAGGAAGGTTTTAACTTGAGAGAGGAAAGAAGGGGGGAAAACTGACATCGTTCCTTTAATGTCTATATGCTACGCACTGTGTAAGGGTCACTTGAGATAACAGATATAAATGTATTTTGTAAACTGAAACTGCTAGAGAAATGTAAGAGGGTAATATTATTAATGAGGATAAAAGCATAGGCCTCAAACTAAACTTCAGGATCCCATGGCTTCCCTGCCATCCATCCATCCACCCATCCATCCATCCAATATTTATGGTTACCAGGCATTAGTGCTAATGATGTAGGTGACTCACTAGGCTAAGAAGGGACAAGAGGGATGTCAAAGTACCTAGAAGGGGAAATGCAGCACCAAAGAGAATTTTGGGGGGACAGTGGAGTATGCTTAAATGTGATGAGGAAAAGACAGTTAACAGGATGAGACTGCAGACAGGAGAGGTTTTCATCCCAATAAGCTAAAGAGAACTTTAGCCTGAAGGAATGCATGATTGTTCTTTTTAGCTCTCCAACCCCAGTTTCTTTTGGAAATCACGCCCCATGGTCTGTTCTGCAGACAATAAACCAGCAGGTGCCCATTCATAAGAGAAGCCAAATAAATTCTTGGCAGAAACTCAGGTTGTTATTACAGCAAGAAAACAAAAAAATTAAAGGGGTTAGAACCAAACTGCTTGCATGTCTTTTTAAAATTATCACATTGAGAATCCTGCAGCTGAATAAATTTCCTCTCAATGTTGTGCTTTGTTCCAAGGTTTCTTTGTGCTAATGATATTCAAGGCCTTTGTCTCTTTGGTTCCCAGGGTCCTCCTCCCTCTCAATTTTGTGCTTTGTTCCAAGGTTTCTTAGGTTTGGATTATTTTGTGCTAATGATGTTCAAGGCCTTTGTCTCTTTGGTTCCCAGGGTCCTCCTGGTCTCACTGGGTCTAGGTGTCTCAGGTAAATTACAGTGCAGATGGAGGACAGCAGATGGGAGGGCACCACGTTGCCAGTGGAAAGAGAAGGCTGCCAGTTTGAATGGCTGCCCTGACACACGACCAGCCTTGTGACTTTGGTCAAGGGTAGGCCTGGAATCCGAGAATCAAATGATGACCCATCATTAGGTGTCTGTGCTCCAAACTCATTGCTGAGCTCCAGCCCAATACATAAATTCATGTGAATGCATGTGCTTTGCAAAACTGGAAAGCCCAGAACAAACACACAGTGGAATTTTAAGTGCTATGCTAAATCACCCCTTATAAGATGGTATTTTAATGAAGGCAACAGACAAATAAATTGTGTGTATATGTGTGCACATGCGTGTAGGGGTCTATTATAGACACAGGATCTTCCAATTTAGTTGCTGCCACCCTAGCGTGCCACTATGTGGACAGACCCTCAATATAGTGACTGAGAAATATACAGAAAGCCCCAAAACACTAGCATGACTTATTTTGGTTTCCTCGAGCCAGCTGCTCAGACTAATATAAGGTCCATCCAAGGTTGCCTTGAGACCTCTCATCTCCTCCCTAACCTTCCCACACTATATCCCCTGACATTGTCACCAATGGTCAACAATAGGCTAGTCCAACAAGGTGAGGGATGTTCTTGCTACCTGGTCCCAGTGAAAGAATGCAGAATATTTCTGATTAGTTTCAGAGAAGACCTTCAGATCCCGTTATAGGATCCACTCATTGAGGTCCTCAGTTTTAAAAATGGACAGAGAAGCTATTAAGGGACTGGGAAATTTGGGGTTCTTTATGGTGTGTGTAAGGGAGGATGGACAGCCAAGTATGGCTGCCAGAGATCCCAAAAAAGGCCCCAACGAAGATGGTCTATGGGAAGGGGTAAGGTGGTCAATGGGAGGGGGGAGATGGCCCCATGAGAGGGACAGGATTTAGAAAACATGGGGCATGCTAAAAAGGGAGAAGACAACAATTAGGATTATTTTCACTTACTCCTTTCTACTTTTTTCCAAACACTCTCTCCATTTCTTAAGCCCCTTCTCATTCTTTAGGATGTCACCTTTTCTGTGACCTTTCCAACTCTTCACTTCCTCCATAGGCAGAGTAGTCACCCTCCCCCCTCTCTCTGCTTCCATAATACTCTATACCCAACCCAGTTATAGCAACTCCTTAACTCATTTGGAAACAGTTATGAGCATCTATATGTGCCAGGCACAGAGAGGAGCAGAAACACAGGGGAATAGCAGAGGCCCTGCCTCAGAGTGCTCACAGTCTAATGAGGACACAGACAAGTGAACATGTCTTCATGTGGTGTCATCAGTGCTTGGAGGAGGTGAGTGTCAAGTCCAAATCAGACTTGGGATTCAGGAAAGGGAACTTGGTCTTTGTCTTGAAGGTTAATGGGAGCCAGCAGTTCTGAGGAGGGATTTGTTGCCTGGCAAAGGGAAGAGCATGTTTAGAAAGACGAGAAGCAGCAGTCTGGGGAACTGCCAGGGCCATTGTGTGGCTGGAGGAAACGTGGAGTTTGGGAAGTGACTGAAGATGTTGGCAGAGAAGTAGATGGGCATTGAATGACCAAGTTATGGCCTCTGAAATTAATCCTGAAAGCCACTGGCCACCCATGGATGATGCCAACTGGGGAGTCACTGGTTCAGATAGATAGTTTGGTAAGTTTCTTGAAGAACATTCAAGCCAGATAATGGTTTTTAAATAATCCAGATGAAGATGCCAACTCGCTGAATTAAGAAATGGCAAGAGATATAGGAAATATTTAAGAACTAGAATTGACCATACTTTATTGCTGATTGGATGTGGGTAGGAAGAAAAAAGAGAATGATAATTTTGTGATTAAAAGGACTCAGAGGATGGGAGGACCAGTCTATGAGATTGGAAAGATGGGAAGAGAAGCAACGTTGTAAAGAATTTATGGGATGCCCAGGGGATCGGTTTGGATCTGTGCCAGGAAAGAAGGCTGTCTGGGGAAATAGATTGAATCCTGGTTTTCCTAATAGTGGTCAGTGAGCCATGGGTCTGTGCCCAGAGAGAGAGTCTAGATGGAGAAGAGCAGAGGGTGAAGAGCTCTGGTGACGTGGGTCCAATCTCCTTGCATGTAAACGAGAAGAGCAATGTGCTCTTGGGAGAGTCCCTGCAGATCATGAAGTCTTTATTCACCGCACAAGGCTCAGAACACAGAGGTCTCTCACTGTGTGTGGCTTCCCCTTATTCTCATAAATCCCTTGGTTGGTGCTTGAACCACTTTCTTAAAACCGAATTCTATAATTTTACTTCTCTTTGCATGTTGAGATTTTACATGGGTTCGGGCTCAGTGAGGGTACATGTAGGTGCTGGCTGTTTTCTGACTGTCTTTTCTGGTGGCTAACAATCGTTTTTTGAGTTCTTCAGTTGGACTGTGTCAAAGTAAAATAAGAAGTGATGTATTCAATAATGCCACTAAATTGAGTTTGCATAATAGCACAGAACTCAGATGAATATAATAACTGTTAATAGGGTTTGTATTGAATTTTTAAATTCTGGCCTTCCTACCTGTTATGCATCAAAGTTCTAGAATAAAGGGAACTTCAGATCTGATCATAATAACCATCATCATTGCTCTGCCCTTAAGTGAATTACCCGGATGTGTCATTTGGAGAGTTGTTGACATGAAACTAAGAATTCAGGAGAGTGGCACTTACCATGCTGGCCAGACGTATGCTTGCTCCCATAACTGAGATTAACAATAATAATAATGTTTCTGGTTTTAGGGAAGAACTGAAACTAACAGTCCCAGAAATTGGTCAGACTCCCACTGTCAGAAACTGTTGCTTCTGCCATCTCCTACCTGTTTCCTTCTGTCACGAGTGGCTTCTCTGGGTGAGTGGTGGAGACCATAGGGATGGCAACCTCCTGCGCTGTGTCCCTTTCTCCCTCTTGCAGCAGCGGAAGGGTGTCTTCTTCAGCTGATTCAGCTGACTTCTTCTTACTCCCATGATGGGAGCCTCCATCAATCAAGTTTCCAAAATTACCTGCAGAGGCAGTAGCAAGGGGAGAGGGGCCAGGTGTCAGTCAAGAAGCAGAATCAGGCAGCTTGACATAAGGGACCCAAGTTCATGTCCTCCCCAAGCAGGGAAATAAGATCTCAGTATGAAGGCAGGAAGAGCATGGTTAGACCAAAGAAATAAGACTGACAATGACAATGAGCCATCATCTATAACCATGCTATGTCCTCATTTGTAAAAACTACTTAAGTTACAAATTAACTGGATTCCATCTCCATTTCTTTCTTTGAAACAGATTTCCAGATGTGAATCAAGACCTTCTCTGATGGAATATCCAATCTTGGAATCGTTTTTCCAGAATGTGCATCAGCCCAGAAAGATTTCTGGGAGTTATAATAAAAGCACCCACTATATGCATGGCATTCTGCCTGCACTGATCCATTAAACCCTTGCAACAGTTCTATGAGAAGTTATCATTATTCCTATTTAATAGATGAAGAAACTGAGGCCCAGAGAAATTAAGTGAGCCTAGTATAATGGAACCAGGTTTACTAACCCAAAACTGTCAGAATCCAAACTATATTCTTAATATGTTTTTTAAAGTATGAAAATAAATCTATCCCTTATGTAGAAACACAAGAGCAAACAAGGAATTATTAACTGTTTTCTCAAGTAATGGTTGTATGGCCCATGCCATGTGCCAGGCACTGTGCTTGGCCGCACTTACCAATAGAAACTTCAAAGCTAATGGGTTTATCTCCAATCTTCCGGTCAATCATGGTGGCTTCAAAAAATGCTCCAAAGAGTAAAAATTCCTCATATTTTTCTGGTACAATCTATAGAAAGAAAAAGTATATATGAGATAGGCCTGGTTCCTTATATTTTATTATTAGGAAGCTGATGCTAACCTGGTCCAGGGAATTCATAGGCATTTGAGTCTCAGTGTCAGCCTGAAATGGCACACACTTTCCCCACTAATCAGACAGGCAGGAACCGGGACCTGCAAATTGCATATCCAAATTCAATCATTTATCTAGAATGTAGTCTCAGAGCTTCTACCTTACAATAAAAATGTCCTTTTTAGGATATTTATCTATTTTTATAATTTTTCAATTACAGTTGACATTCAATATTATTTTATACTAGAGGCCCAGTGCATGCAATTCATGCACTGGTAGGATCCTTAGAGGCTGCTGGCTGCTGGCTGCCAGCCGGCCAGGGCCTCCCTCCCTTCCACCAGCTGGCCCCGCCCCCCTGGTCGAACTCCCAGACGACCTCCATACTATTATATAGGATTAGTTTAAGGCAGTGGTTGGCAAACTGTGGCTTGCGAGCCACATGCGGCTCTTTGGCCCCTTGAGTGTGGCTCTTCCACAAAATACCGACTTCTATATATGGGCCATAAAGTTTCAATCACACTGTACGTGCGCACCTGCACGTGGTATTTTGTGGAAGAGCCACACTCAAGGGGCCAAAGAGCGGCATGTGGCTTGTGAGCCGCAGTTTGCCGACCACTGGTTTAAGGTGTACAGCATAGTGGTTAGATATTTATATAATTTACAAAGTGACCCCCCCATCAATCTAGTGCCCACCTGGCACCATACTTAGTTATTATAATATTATTAACTATAGTTTACATCCATGTGGCATTTTGCAACTGCTAATTTGTACTTCTTAATTCCTTCACCTTTTTCACCCAGTTCCCCAACTCCCCTCCCTTCTGGCAACCACCAGTCTGCTCTCTATATCTATGAGTCTGTTTTAATTTTGTTTGTTTATTTTGTTCATTAGATTCCACATGTAAGTGAAGTCATATGGTATTTGTCTTTCTCTTATTCCACTTAGCATAATACCCTTTAAGTCCATTCATGTTGTCACAAGTCATAAGATTTTATTCCTTTTTATAACCAAGTAACATTCATATATATATAT